GCTAGGTTGTGGGACTTCCCAAGCTAAATCGTAAATTTTATTTTCTATAAATTAAATTTATAAATATTGTCCGACTTTAGTGCGTTAACATTTTTAGATTAATGTTTTTTCAATGTTCTTTTGCAGCCAATTGTCTCAAACCTCTTGAAGCTGCTCATTCATGTAGTTGCGTGCCATGCTTTAGGTCATCCATCAATGTCTCATTTGCTTCTTTTGTTGTCTCGTTCGCTCACCCAATTAAAGGTGAAGCTCAACCTAATTCTGAGGATTAATTAAGAATTGAACGAACTTCTTCATAATATTAAATTGACATTATTTATTTTGCAAAATGTATCTTATTATTTATGTTTCTTTCTCATCAGCTCTTGAGCCTTTCTTCAATGCTGTTGCTTCACAATTCATACTTGGGCAACAAATACCTTTCACATTATGGTTTTCACACAACAAAAATAGTCATTTGCAACACTAAAAAAGCAACATTTGTTGACAAATGTTGTCAAAAGAGTCTTAGTAAGTGAATGTTGCCATTAGTATTAATAAATGAGTTTTGACAATGTTTTTTTAAGAAAAATGTTGCGATAGACACCTTTAGCAACGTTTATTGAGTGTTGCGGAAGGTTTTACCATTCGCAACATTTTTGCCAAACGTTGCTAAAGCTGACTTTTAGCAACGTTCATCTTTAGCAACGTTTGGCAAACGTTGCGAAAATTTTCCCGTTGCGAAAGGTGGAAACCTCACTCTGGTAAATTTTTTTGTATTTTTTTAAATATATGCGACCCAGATTAACCCAAATCCTGTATTTATTCACTTTTCCCTTCGTTCCTCTCCAACCCGCGTCTCTGTTCATTCCTCTCCAACCCACCACCTCTAGCCGCCACCATCTTTTCTGCGTGAACCCTTCTCTAGCCGCCGACTATGGAGCAAATTTCAGCCACTTTTCGGCTTCTAAAACCACCTGACATTGGTACCAACATCACCTCCTCAACATCCTCTACAATTCCTACCAAACATCTTCCAGTATCATCAACTCTCGTGGCTAAAATCAGGAATCAAAACCAGCAGGCCGAAACTGCACAAATTGCCGAAATCACCTCCTCCGACCACCACCTTGATCGCGAGATTGCCCATGTCCAGGTGACTCTGAATATCACCTCAATCTTAGTGAGAATCTCCTTTTCCTTCCGTATGGACCTGCAAGAAATTGTGATAATAGACATCCAGGGGAAGAGAAAAACTGAAAGATTACTGTTGAAATGGAGAAAATAGGGGAAAATTGGAAAACGTAAGAAACAGGCTGGGGGGTGGAGGGGGGAAGAGGAAGAAGAAAACTAACGCTATATGTGTGCTGCATCCAATTGTCTATTGACATATACAATATTTCTTTGCACTGATGGTAGTTTTAGATATGATTTAAGATGGAGCGAATGATGTTTATTACTATACATTTTTCCAAATCGACAGATAAGATGGAGAATGAAATTTTAAAATGAGAAAAGAGTAATTATTGAAATTATATTACCTTTAAATTGTAAGGGCTTAGTAATTTTATAATTTCCGTAATAGTGGACTAACAGATGGTAGTTGTGGCAGGGAAATTGTAATTCCTAAAAAGACAGTCTGCAAACCATAATTAGTTTTAGCAATTCCCCAATTTTTATCTGGCTAATGCAAAGCTCTATATATGTGAAAATTGAAAATCTGTTCTTTTCTTTTTATGTTCCTACTTTTGTTGTGATAGGTGTTTCCTATCTTCAATTAATAATGTTCTTGGGTTTTTGGTTTGTGGCAGTTATTGAGGATTCTCGCACTTGGAGAAAGATAACTTGGAGAAAGATACAATTATGATTTACACAGCAATTGATTCGTTTTATCTGACAGACGAACAGCTCCAAAACTCGCCCTCTAGGAGAGATGGGATAGAT